AATGTAAACAAAAATAAATTCTAAAGTGCACAAATGAAAGATGCAATTTATTAAAAAAGGAAAAGAAAGCAATTCAAAAAACAAAACAAAAAATCACTCCTTGAGAAAAAACAACAACCACAACAGACTAAACAAATTTAGACAATAAAACTACAAAGGCCTGGAGAGGAGAAGAGGAAAGGAAAAGAAATCAAATTAGTTGCTTGTTTTATGGGCATGCATTTAATTTTTATTTCTTTCCTGGCTAGAAACAAAAAAAAAAACAACAACAAAAAATGAAGCAAAAAGAAAAAAAACTAAAACCAAAAATAAGAAGCTACCAAGACGAACACATTCAGGGCAATAAAATCAATGGCAATGGATGCTGGCATTCCTGTTTCGTTCAAGCACACACACACATAAATGCATACATGGATACATATATGCGATGGATCCATGAGTAGAAGATGAAGCAGCAGCACCAACAACAGACGATCATTGACTCCTGAACTTCAATAAAAGTGCAATAAAAATACAAATTACCATTCAAATGCAGCGGCATCAGCAGCAGTTGCATCCATCCAACGCCATCATCTCGTTCGGCTCTTTTGGTCCGATGGCGGATGGTTGGTCGTTTTCGTCATTGCCACCAGTCTCCTTGTGTTTTTTTTTTTTTTTTTTTTTTGAAGACACTGACTGGCACTACTAAACGTCCATAATGTAGTCAAATGAAGTGATGTTGAATGACTCCCCCTTCCCTACGTCCCTCCTCCCATTTGGAAGAGGAAAACGTAATGTGTCCAAACATCAAAGAATAAATCGCTGCTCCTGAAAGAAAATAAGCAACAATAAGAACAGCAACAACAACAATGTAAACGATGTGTGTGTGTGTGTGTGTGTGTGCGAAGAATGCAAATGTAGTCATTTAATTAGTAGCTGTGTACGTTCTCGTCCTCCTCACGTCGTTCGTTCGTTTTTTATTCGTCATCTTGATTTTTTTATGATTTGATTGGATCTAAGGTAGAGGAGTGAAATTGGGGGAAGTGGGAAGGGGAGCTGCTGGGTGAGAAATATTTACAACTTGAGTTACAAGATCAAATACGTTGTGTGTATGACGACGATGATGATCAGGATCATCATTATGTTGTTGATCATAATTTTGTTGTTGTTGCTGTTTATATAGCCACCCGCAACACAAACTAAACTATGAAATAAAATACATAATAATAACAACAACAAAAATAAAAATAATAATAAAAATGGAAAAACATCAGCTCATAAAATACAACAAAATGTTGCAGCTTTGTTTGTCGGCGGCATTAAGTGGTGTTGTTGGCAGGGACGTGGCTAAGTTGGGGGAGAGAGGAATATAGGATTTTTGAAAGGAAATATTTTCGGTTTTGAAATTTCAATGGAAATGACATCTCCCTTGGAAGATTTCATTTGTTGAATTTTCTTCTAAAAAAGTGCATCGAAAATTAGTCTCTTTGAATTTTTTTTGTCCAGAAGAGCGGATTTTTTTAAATATTTTTTTTAGAAGCGTGAATTTTTTAAATAATTTTTTCTCCAGAAGCTTGAATTCGTTTTGAAAAAATCCAAGGCGCGGATTTTTTTAAATATTTTTTCCAAGGTGTGGATTTTTTTTTAAATATTTTTTCCAAGGTTTGGTTTTTTTTAATAATTTTTTCTAATGCGTGGATTTTTTAAAATAATCTTTTCCAAGGTATGGATTTTTTAAAATAATCTTTTCCAAGGCATGGATTTTTTTAAATAATTTTTTTCAAGGCGTGGATTTTTAAATAAATTTTTCTATGGCGTGGATTTTTCTTTAAATAAGTTTTTGTCTAGGCGTGGATTTTTTTTAAATAATTTTTTTCAATGCGTGGATTTATTCAAAAACTATTTCCAAGGCTTGGATTTTTTCAATATTTTTTTTCAATTCGTGGATTTTTGAAACATTTTTTTCCAAAGCGTGGATTTGTATAAATATTTTTTTCAAAGCATGGATTTTTTTAAATGTTTTTTCCAAGGCTTGGATTTGTTTAAATAATTTTTTCCAAGGCGTAATTTTTTTAAATAACTTTTTCCAAGGCGTAATTTTTTTAAATAACTTTTTCCAAGGCTTGCATTTTCTTAAATATTTTTTTTCATGGCGTGGATTTTTTAAATAATTTTTTCCAATTTTTTATTTTTTTTCTATTATTTTTACCAAGGTTTTCATTTTTTGAAAAAAAAATTAATGCGTGGACTTTTTAATTATTTTTTCAAGGCGTGATTTTTTTTTAATATTTTTTTCAAGGCGTTGATTTTTTTAAATGATTTTCATCAAAAGTTCATCCGAAATGACTTTTCATTCAAAGAAGTTTATCTAAGGGGACCTTTCATTCAAAAAATTTTCGAATAACATTTCATCAGCGATGCTTTTCTCTAAATACCAAAATTTTTTAAAAAATATTTTCTATAGTAAAAATCTGTTCCATTTCAAAAAAATCCCCCCTCCATACCCCTACGTCCATGACTATATGTGTGTGTGGCTAATTTGTAATTTGGTACGATTTATTTCAGATTTTATTACGCTTATTTATTTATTCTAGATGCGGTTGTTGATAATTTCGGAAGTCACAAAATATAAAACGAAGATCACAAAAAAGCACTTGCTAAGCAACAAAATCCAAACATCCCCACAACAGCAACAAGAACAATAACAACAGACGATCCAGCAACTGCAGCAGCAGATGCAATAAAATGAGAACTCAATGTGTTATGGTTATTCTATATTTTAGCGGTTTTCGTAAACAAAATACGATGTTATTAAATGCTCATAAAAGTCAAAAAAAAGGAAAAGAGAACAACAACAACAAAAATCGGGAATAAAATTTTTATAAATAACATAAAAGGAAACAAGAATGCAGCAGCAGCAAGAGAGAATGAGAATTCTTTTCAAATAATGAATGCATTTTCTTATTGGGAGTTTAGAGGCCGTTATTACATTATGAGAAACACATCATTATAACAGGACAAGAGTATGATGGCACGCTCTCGCTCTTTTCCTGTTGTTACGGGGGATACATTCACGTACTCTCTGTATGTGTGTGGTGTGTGTGCATGTGATTTGTTTTGTTAAAACCGGCTTTTTATTGTTTTGCCTCCTTGTATTTTGTTTGGGAGCCATGAAGAGAAGAGAGTGTGCTGTGTGTATGTGTTGAGAGAGTACTATGCAACTCTATGGAGAAAGTGAGTTGTTCATAGAGTTGCTGCATTTTACCATCAGTTGTTGTGCTTCAGTTTAGTTTGGTTAGCGTACGGAAACGGTTGTTCAAAGCGGATACGGAATAGACAGACACAGCACAACAGTGTTATAAAGGAAACAAAAAACACACAGCATATAAAAGAAGAACAAGAAAATGTTAAGACAAATTTTGTGAATAATAAAAGAAAATATAAATTCTCGAATGGAATAAAAAAGAAACTGAAATTTTAAAGGAATTTGTTTAAGTAAAAAAAAAAAATAAAACCCTTTATTGTTCTGAGTGAACCCATAAAACAAATTAAATGCACCAGAAAAGGTGCTTAAAGATAATAACCAAAAACCCATAACAATAAATGTTTTGTGTCTGTGTGTGTACGTGAGCATAAAATTAATGCCGCCATTTGGCTGGGTGTTGATAATGTTTCGATGTGTCGACGACGATTGTTGTTTGATTAACAATTTACGTTTACTTTGAAGTTAAACTGCCAAACGTGATAGAACCTTAGATAGATGGAAAGAGGTGAAAAAGGAAAAATAAACATAAAAACTAGTGTGTTAAGATAAAAAACCAAAGAACACCCAGACTCGGAATGCATGAGGGAACAAATTCTTCTATCTACCTTTGAGTTGTTGCTGTTGGTTTTTTTATAACTATCCAAATATCAATTAATATTAAGTGAAAACAAATAACACAACATATCACCATCAGTGATGTTTGTTGTTGGTGCTGTTCTTATTGTGCATTTAAACGTGTGTGTGCATGCTAGTTGTTTAACCAAAGTAAACTGAAAACCCATGCATGAATGCATTTGACAATCATCCATTGCCATAAATGAACTCCTCACACATTACATAGGAGTAGACAGACATACAGTTCTTATTACTTCATGGACATTTTGATGGAGTTCGGACCAATATACAAATTAACTGAATAACAAGAAAAACAACAACAAGGAAAAATAACATCCCAACCAAACTCATTTGCCGCCCAAAGTATTTGTTGTAATACACGTTTCGTTTAATATTCGTGTGTTTTTATGCCTGTGATTTATAACACCAAGAACCAGCCAGCCATCGAGACAGACAAACAATCTGCGCACTGCATTTTGGATACAATAACAAAAACAACAGCCGCTAAAACCAAAGACCCAGACAAGAACCATTTCTCCCTACTAAATCTTCCAACAGTCCACACTTTGATTTACCTGCCAAGAAGCAAATGTTTTTTTTTGTTTTCTGTTATAAATCAACAAAGTCTTCCTTGCCCTCGAATGCCTTACCAGCAACAATAACAAAAACAACAACGACAAAAAACACATTGGCCAAATATTGAAAGAGAACACACAGCGTCCTTCTCATCTCACCGTAATCATCATCATTATTTTACCGTTTGTGTTGTGCTCAAATAAATCACAGACTCTTTAAAAGCAAAGAGTGAACGAGAGAGAAAGAGAAAAACGACAACTTCAGAGAATACTTAAGAAATCATTAAAACAAATACAATAACAATAATAGTTAAAGCAAAGTCTTGCCAAAAAATAACAAAAAACAAGGAAAAATAAACGGAAAAATGAAAAGATTTTTATAAAATAGAAAAAAAGGACAAACATTTGCTTTTTATTCATTCACTCGACTCACTTAGACAGTTTTTGTCCGACTGTTGTCAGTCATCAATTAACTAATTGGATACTTGAAAACGAGAAAGGCTAGAGAGGAGAGAGCTGCAGTAGTAGAAGAAGACGAAGTAGTCTTATCATCACATTTCATCATCATGGATCTCATCAACATAGTAAAGGATTTAAAGTTATTAACTGTCTTGTTAATTATTTGCAGTAAACAAGGTAAGTGGTTGTAGAACAAACAATAGGGAAAGAATTTTTATGTATATAAAAATAACAATCGAACGAAAAATGAAATTTTTTCGAAATTTTTAAGATAATTTTTTAAATTAAAAATCATCATTTTGTTGGAATAGTGTTGTTTTAGAAATAAATTATGAAAAATGATCTGAAATTGTGGCGTTATAGGAAAATTGTTATGTAGCCACGATAAGAATGAGAGTAGATTTGCAATTTATAAAAAAATTTAAAAAATATTCATCGAGGATGACCTTTCATTCAGAGGAATTCATTGGAGATGATTTTTTTTAATGACTTGCTCTATGGATATGAATATTCATCCACAGATGTTGTTCAAAGAAGTCCTTTATTCAGAAAAGTTCATGGCAGTTGATTTTTCTTTAATGAGATGTTCATCGGAGATGACATTTCATTCAGAGATGGTTATCAGAAAAGAAGTTATCAGTGAAGTTTATCGGAGATGATTTTTTATCGGATATAAAAATTAGATATTTTTCTAAATGTTTAGTTTAGTATATATTGGGGAGATTGAAGTTTTTATAATGTAAAATTATATTTTGGGAAATTAAAACAACACTGGAAGGACCTAAAATCAATAAGAGGTCAAAGATGATATTTCATTCAGAAAATTGCATTGGATATGATTTTTTATTAACTTACTCATCGGATATGACCTTTTTCCATATATGATAGAAGAAGACCTTTCATTCAGAAAAGTTCATTGGAGTTGATTTTTTCTTTAACGAGATGTTCAGCGGTGATGACATTTCATTCAGAGATGTTTTTCGGAGAAGACCTTTTACTCGCTGAAGATTATCGTATTTGATTTTTTATCGTATAAAAATATGATATATTCTCTAAATGTTTAGTTAATCAAATATTGGGGAAATTCAAGTAACATCGAAGGACCAAAAATTAATAAGAGAAATATTCAACTAATAATGGACCAAATGAGAAACAAAGAATAGAGATATTTCAACTGTGGTCTTTTAGAAAGAATTTTTGAACCGATTGGGGAATGAAGTATTAAGAAAAATGAAGCTAGTTCGGATTTTATTAAAAAATAAAAAAAAATTTAATTTTTTTCTTTATCACATAATGGGTAACACTAAACGCTTCTATCCGAAATACGGATTGAGAAATAAAAAGAGATCAATTTTGACTTCTAGAGAAAATTGTATCGCTAATCTAACCTAAATCTAACCTGTGTTGAAATGTTCTCCAAGAAATTAAAATTTTGGGTACATTTTTAGGAAACGGTAATGATACTTTCTTTAAAGAGGTTCGTAACAATGAAAATTTCTGTAGGAACTCATCTGAATTATAGAAGTCTTCATCGAAGGTGGTTTTCTAATAGACAATAATTAGTAACTGATTTTCATATACCCTCCTCCATAAGGCGGAGTGAGTATTAAATTTGTAATTCCACTCGCAGCACCTTCAAATAATCGTCGCAGTCCCCATAATGTATAATTATAGTAGATCAATTAAAAAAATCGAAGTCTGGATCACGATAGACATATTCAAGACTTAATATTGAGCTCTGGAAATTTGCACAGATATTGTTAGTCCTTCTGGGATGTTTGATATTGCTGATGGGATATATCAATCTACGCTTTGGTATAGCCCTCATATAATGTCCCTCCTTAATAGCCATTCCCCTTTTCGTAATAAATATTTTTTCGGGGCATAGTTTTAAGGATTTTGCCTGATGCACTTATATTTAAGAATGCATGTAGTGTACACAACATGCTGTTGCACTATATTGTTAAGATTCAAAGAAGGGTGGTACATACATAAGCATGTTTATTATACAATGATGTTAGGTTTCAGTTCTTTACCCTGATATGTAATTAAAGTTTTGATTAAATAAAATGGCCTAGCCAAAAAAGAAAAGAGTTCCCCTCAATATAACCGCATATGTTGGGCAGGTTATTTAAGCGAATTTGCTGTTTAAGGTACTCATGGTATAGAAAATCTACATTCCAAAAAATATCAAAGCGCTTCGAGGTAACTCCCCCACCCCTATAACGGTAACCTCCACAATATGGTATTTTTTGACATTTTGAGCACTGACTTGGCTATAATTTGGTATTTTGGGTTTTAATTGGGCCGCAACTATGTCTACCAAAAACTGTCCAAAATCTCAGTACCAAATATTTTTATTATTGGTGCCCGTTTTGGTATAGCTTCTAGCATATTCTTCAACTGTCTCGCCTAATTCAAAACTTCAACTTTTACTATACAATGTATTTTCTTACAGGAAATTTAATCTATAATTAATTTTCTTGCAAAAAATTTAATCTGTGTTGAAATTTCATTTGAAACAAATCCATTTTCTTTTATAAAACAAATTAATTTGGATATTTGTTTGCAATTTAATTTCTTTGCCAAATAAATTCTCTTTGTTACCTTTCTCTATCGTAGTTATTCCTTTTTGTCTATTTGTTGTGTTGTGTTGCCAACATCACAAAAGACCACAACAATATATCCAAGCACTGAGTGTCCATTCTCTATGACAATAATAACAACAACAAAGAAAATCATCAAAAGGATTTGCTATACACACAAAGAGTGTAAACAAATACATACACATATCTACTCATAAACATTTGTCCTGGACCAGCAAACAATTTCAATTTACCCCCCTCTAGGCCACTTTCCATCGATATATTTCCGAATACAAACATTTAAGTACTTTTCCTATTTATTGATCTCGAAAAATCTCAAGAGGATATCTTTCTTACAAAGAAACAAACAATCGAACACACACACAAAACGAAGTTCCTTTACAAGATAGCAAATTTTATTCAATTTTCACATACACTCACACACACATACATACTCGAATACCTTCACTCACAATGCTTTGCCTAAAGAGTCTCCAAGAGATTTAAGTATACTTGTAAAACATTTGAATAAACTATGCCATGGCAATGACTATTGATGAATGCCAATTTTCGGGAGAGTTGATAAAGCTGATTTATGTCTTGTATTGAGGATGAGAGGGAGGTAGAAGGTGATGTGAAAGGGAATTTCTTGATAGAAAACTTTTGGGGATTAGCATAGTAGATGAATTCACACAAGAGATTTTCCATCCTAGAAAAAAAAATCATCCTGGATGAATTTTTCTGTATAGAAAAAATATAAATAACAAATGAACGCTTCTATTAAAGAAGTTGATGAACTTTCCTGATGTCAACTCTACGGAACATTTCAATTGAAGAAGTTATAACTAATTGATATATGAACCACTCGACCGATTAGAACATTGACCCCCTTATTTGTGTATTAATTATCCGGGCTAAGTAGATGTCAGGCCAATGTTATGGGTGAACACACACACTCTTATACATGTATGGCATTCTATGGCATCTCAATCATCATGCATCCGAGAAGACATACATGATTTTCCCATTGCATAGCTTAATGAGTTCCGACAAATAATGAATACTCAACGGCAAAAGGATTTGACATACATACAAAGATATGTATATTTTAAGCCGAAGGATCAAGGATATAATTACAAACATTCCTACTCACATTTGTCCTCCTCATACATTTCCATACAAATTACGACTATTTTATGGCAATTGCTGTTCGGTGTATCCTTCTTTTGTTTGTGGAGTTTTTGTTACAAATCATAACCTGAAGTACACACTTCGCAAGCGAACTAAGTACCTAGAGAGTCATATCCACAAAGATGCATACCGACCTGCTACCATTTAGCCCACGTACCACCATCATCATATTATTGTGGTAATTCATCCAGTCAGCCATATAGGAGGAATACAATTGAATATCAGCAACAACAACAATGCCACCAAACACATGGATGAATAGCTGCCGCATGGCTTCGGTTGTGGCTGGATGGCTAGGCAGTTACATCGAACGAAAAAAAAAACTTAAGCCGGCCACTTCAAGCAGATAATTTGCACTCAATGGTCGGCCAACGACTCCTGTAGACCATGAAAATGAAATTGTAACATTTTCCGCACACACACACATCGAGGGAAATCTAATACCTGGACAAACAACCACAACGAGAACAAGAAAAAAAACTAAACTGGTCACAAAACAATGACCACAAAATGAAAACATGCGTAAAACTACCGATGAAATGATGAGAATCCCAAGCAACAGCAAAACAAAAATGGTCCAATTATTAGTTGTTGTTGTTGCTCCTGTTTGTTGTTGTTGCAATATTCAACCAAGCGACTTACGTGGGCCAGTTGGACAACACTTATCTCCATTGTTTTTAAAAATTCTTTGAAGAGGCTGTGTCCGCTCTATTATCTCTCGGCCGCAATGTGTGTGTTCGTATGTGTGTATGCGAGCATGTTCGTGTGTGCTGATTTGCCAGGGATTTTAAAGATTCGCACAACAAATTTTTGACATCAAACTTGATGTGTCAGCGGCATTATCATCAAACCCTATTATTAGCATTCTCAAAACAGACCCCATCCCGCTCTTGTCCGTAAAACCAAAAAAAAATTCCCTGAAATTCTTTGTCTTTACTTAAAAAAGAGTACATTTGTGTGTTCATCGACTAGCTTATCGGCAAAGGAAATGACGAACCCAAATTCGCCATTTGCACAACTTAGGAATTGCGGATTCCTTTTTTTTTGTGTCGAAATAAAGAGGGATTGACAGAACCGATAATTATGATAATGATGATGACGGTAATGATGATGAACCCCATCGACACGAACATGAAACTATCGCAACACACGAAGATACGGATACACACACACACACACATCTTGAATATATACAGATGAAGTTAAAAGGAATTTTGCTGAGTTAGCGTAAAAATTCCTTTAAAAGAAGTTGGCATTTGAGATGAGAAGCCAAAGAGGAGGAGCGGCACACAAAATTGGGGAACAAATAAAAAATGAATAGAATAGAAAAATTCATCCCCGAATGAATATAAAAAAATATCACGATTGAATTTTTCTGAATATAAAAAAATCATTCCCGGATAAATTTTTCTGTATAGAAAAAAAATCATTCCCGGATAAATTTTTCTGTATAGACAAAAATTCATCCCCGGATGAAATTTTCTGTATAGAAAAAAGTTCATTTGAATTTTTCTGTATAGAAAAAAATTCATCCCCGGATGAATTTTTCTGTATAGAAAAAAATTTATCCCCGGATGAATTTTTCTGTATAGAAAAAAATCATCCCCGGATGAATTTTTCTGTATAGAAAAAAGTTCATCCCCGGATGAATTTTTCTGTATAGAAAAAAGTTCATCCCCGGATGAATTTTTCTGTATAGAAAAAAGTTCATCCCCGGATGAATTTTTCATCCATCCCCGGATGAATTTTTCTGTATAGAACAAAGTTCATCTCCGGATGAATTTTTCTGTATAGAAAAAAATTCATCTCCGGATGAATTTTTCTGTATAGAAAAAAAAATTCATCTCCGGATGAATTTTTCTGTATAGAAAAAAAAATTCATCTCCGGATGAATTTTTCTGTATAGAAAAAAAATTCATCTCCGGATGAATTTTTCTGTATAGAAAAAAAATTCATCTCCGGATGAATTTTTCTGTATAGAAAAAAAAATTATCCCCGGATGAATTTTTCTGTATAGAAAAAATTCATCCCATTCATTCATCCCCAGATGAATTTTTCTGTATAGAAAAAAACTCATACCCGGATGAATTTTTCTGTATAGAAAAAAATTCATCCCCGGATGAATTTTTCTGTATAGAAAAAAATTCATCCCCGGATGAATTTTTCTGTATAGAAAAAAATTCATCCCCGGATGAATTTTTCTGTATGGAAAAAAATCATCCCCGGATGAATTTTTCTATATAGAAAAAAAAATCATCCCCGGATGAATTTTTCTGTATAGAAAAAAAATCGTCCCCGGATGAATTTTTCTATATAGAAAAAAATTCATCCCCGGATCAAATTCATCGGATGAATTTTTCTGTATAGAAAGAATTCATCGGATGAATTTTTATGCATAGAAAAAATTCATCCGCGGATGAATGCATAGAAAAAATTCATCCCTGGATGAATTTCATCATGGATGAAATCATCCGGATGAATTTTTCTTTTCTCCCAAAATTCCCATACTTCTCTTTGATAATATTAAAAACGGGCTTTCGAACCCATGTGAGAATACAACAAGAGCAACAAAAAATCGCAACGCAATAATTCCATGTGAACTCCGCAGATTCGTGTTGTCTTGCTTGCTGACTGACTGCTTGGTTGGTTGGCTATATGTCCGTTTATCTGTCGTTCTGTCTATCCGACTGTCATTTAATAAGTTAGACCTTCGCTTCACATTGATGGTGGCGATGACGGTGATGATGATATTCGGTGGCGGCTACAAACGCAATACATGTTTTCTGGGTTTAGTTTTAATGAAAGTGTGGCCTGGTCCCTTTTGGCTGCTGCCATAGCCTGACTTGCCTCTCCGGCTGGATGGCTGGCTGCCTGGAACAAATGCTCTGATGCTGTTGATGGTTAATGGCAAAAATCGATTCTTCATGCATGAACAGTTCAATCTGTAGTTTTTTTTGCTGTTGTGTTGTTGTGATTTTTATTTAATGTTTTGCGTTCTCCATTGCGAGCAATGTGAAGCGTAGCGATATGTTCCGGTCCATGTTCTGGATAATATAGATTAAATGCCAAATAACTTAAGTTCGGTTATGTGTGTGTTTGGAATTAATATTAAAGTTGTAAGATTCATGAATAGTTTTGTTTTTCAAATTTGTTAGTTAGTTCCTATGGCTCGGAATGTGGGTTTTTGTGTTTCTCTGTTTTGTGCTTTTAATCAATGGCAACGGAGCTATCAGTCTGCCTGCCTGTTTACCTTTTGGCATAGCCCCGCCACTTTGTTTGGGGATGGTCGCCATGTAACGTGTGATTGCTCCATAAAATAATGATTTGTTCAGCACTATTATTTTTATCCGTAACCACACACACAGGCACACACGAGAAGACACACATAGGAACGTTCACACACATGTATGGAGACAGGCAAATATTGATTTCATTGTCCTTTTCTTGTGTTAAAATGTGGGGGATAGCTGAAGAGATAACGTTTATTTTCTTTTCCAAACCTGAATGTTATTTAATTTTTTGTTGTTTTTCTCCCTTCTCTCGTTATTCTAGTTTTTTGTTCCCTGGCCGAAACATCATCACGTTTCCTGACTTTGCCCCAGTCACAGTCAATTGCCGAAGGAGATACAGCTGATTTTAATTGCCATGCCACACCCACCCGTGGCCTAATCTATTCCTGGACATTGAATGGTAATTATCTGGAAAATTATCTCAATTATTTCCAAATTTCTTTTTGTTTTATTTTGTTTAATCACAATTCATATTCATGTTCATTTCTAGGCCAATTAATTCAAAATTCCAGCCGCATCTATCAAAACGGTTCCGATTTACATATTGAAGCGGTTAGCCGTGAATCGGATGCCGGTGATTATGTATGCATAGCCACTAATGTGGCAAGTGGAGCACGTCAGGCATCGCCACCGGCACGTTTGACTGTCATATGTAAGTAGCGAAATTTCGATATTTTGAACATCAAAATAAAAAAATCATAAAAAAAAACATAAATAATTTTTGAAAAATCCCATAAGAAAAAAGGCGTGGATTTTGAAAATATTTTTTTAAGGACTGGATAAGCGTGGATTTTTGAAATATTTTTTTCAAGGACTAGAATAGGCGTGGATTTTTAAAATAATTTTTTCCAAGGTTATAATAGGCGTCGATTAAAAAATAGGTTTTCCATACCCTACCACAAATGATTGCCATGACAAATTTTTGATGTGGCGAATTATTTTTTCCAAAAAAACATTTCTCCTCCTCACACTCTCCCATACATATGTATGAATGGTTGTGTGTGTATAGCATTGAATTTGCGACATTCTTAAAATTCATTTAGGTGTTTGTGCTGCTGCCTATTTGACATTCTCCAACACTCGAATGGTTGGGATGATAATATTCATGATGCATAATTTGTGTTCCTATTTTTTTCCCGACCTGGCAAACATTCAAATGTATGGGAGTGTGAATGCGTGATGAGTGTGTGTATTTGTATAGAATTGTGAAAAGCTTTTCATTCATTCATTCATGTTTTTTGGTTATCTTCTCCTGCCAATTTTATGTAAATTGGGTAACGAGAAATGCACACAAAAAAGGAACACAACAAATGAATGAATGGAAGGATGGATGGGTGGAGGTGAGGTCCTTTTTCTCGCTTTTTTTGGGAAAAATATTTTCACGTATTTTTCCCAACTTCACACTCAACTAATTGGTGGTAATGTTGTTATGGGGAAAGCTGTTGTCAGGTATTGTGGTATCCTAACTAACCTTAGACATGTTGAGCGGAATTGTTCATTTTTTTAATGAATTTTTTTGACAAATGCAAAATATGTTAGTGGAATATAAATGAAGAATGACAAGTGAGATAAACTGAGAGTGAGGAATGGGACACACATAAATAACCTAGGGCAAGGAATGGAAAAATAATTAAAATTTCCAAAGAAAAATAAATAAAATATAAAGAAAAATTCATCCGATAAAAAAGTCATCCGATGAATTTTTTTCTATAAAAAAAAATTCTTTAAAGAAAAATTCTTCCAATGGATTTTTTTTCTATAAAGAAAAATTAATCCGTTTTTTTCTATAGAGAAAAATGCATCCGATGTTTTTTTTATTGTATGATGAATTTGTGCTATAAAGAAAAATTCATCCGATGAAATTTTTTCCATAAAGAAAAAATTTTTTTCTATAAAGAAAAAGTCATCCGATGAATTTTTTTCTATAAAGAAAAATCCGATGAATTTTTTTCTATAAAGAAAAATTCATCCGATGAATTTTTTTCTATAAAGAAAAATTCATCCGATGAATTTTTTTCTATAAAGAAAAATTCATCCGATGAATTTTTTCTATAAAGAAAAAGTCATCCGTTGAATTTTTTTCCATAAAGAAAAAATCATCCGATGAATTTTTTTCCATAAAGAAAAATTCATCCGATGAATTTTTTTCAATAAAACAAATTCATCTGATGAATTTTTTTCAATAAAGAAAAATTCATCCGATGCATTTTTTTCTATAAAGAAAAATTCATTCGATGAATTTTTTTCTATAAAGAAAAATTCATCCGATGATTTTTTTCTATAAAGAAATTTTTTTTTCTAAAAAGAAAAATTCATCCGATGAATTTTTTTCTATAAAGAGAAATTCATCCGATGAATTGTTTTCTATAAAGAGAAATTCATCATATGAATTTTTTCTATAAAGAGAAATTCTTCCGATGAATTTTTTTCTATAAAGAAAAATTCATCCGATGATTTTTTTTCTATAAAGAAAAATTCATCTGATGAATTTTTTTCTGTAACGAAAATTCATCCAATGATTTTTTTCCTTTAAAGAAACATTCATTCGATGATTTTTTTCTATGCAGAAAAATTAATCCTAGGAAGGATTGGCTTGGGAGAGTCCTCTAACATTCCAGGTCTTCAACTTGATGATATCCCATCTATGGTATTTCATCTTTGAGGACATCTACCCTGTCATAGGTCTTTACAATCCCCACTACTAATTAATTTCTTCCTAAATACAACAACAACTTCAATGACAAAAAATTAATTAAATCAAATTGAATTCAATTAAATATTCATTGGCAATTGGAAGTAAAAATTAATTAAAAAAATGATCCCAACTTCGAAATTCCAGAATATTCCTTTAAATCATTTTAAATTCCCCCACAATTTAAAGGCAACCAATTTTTTGCAATGATTTGATTTTTTTTTGCTCCTGCTGCTGTTGTTGTTCCTGAAGTGGTAGCAACAACAACAACAACATCTCGTTATTCTCATCATCAACACGTCAACGTTAAGCAAATACCAAGAGGCAACCAACAACAGCAGGAGTAGTAGCAGTAGGCAAGCAAGGAATGGCAGTAGCTGTTGTTGTGTGGCAGTTGCATGGCAGGCAAATATAACGAACAAAAATAACAACAACAACATGAAAATTAAAATGTATGTTGCAGCACACATAAATACTAGGGCATATACAAATTCAACTAAGTACTTATATACATACATTAATGGATACATATATACACTCACACACATAACAACATACATATCACATTCATACGTTTATACGTAAGTGTACATTCGTGTTTGTGTGTGTGTCTATCCAGCCTAGCCCATTATAAGTGTTTGCATATACAAATTTTAAGTGGTTTTTGAGTTTGCATTTTGTATCCACTAGTGGGGTATCCTTAAGGATAATAAATGCAGTTACACTTATACTGCAACATACACACACACAAACACACCTCTACACATCGCCCACACAAATCCATATGCATATCATATTCATTTACCTAGGCAGACAAGTTGCTAGCTTGGTTACTTGCTGGATAGCTAGCTGGCTGGCTTGCAGCATTTTCAGGACCTCACCTCCCCTCTGCGCCCACCCTTCGCCATCACTCTCCCTAACTTGTTTACTCTTCTTGACTTCTTCCAACTCATTTCCAGTTAAAATAATAATAAAAAACCAACAACACAAAACATTGCAATACAAATGTCCTGAATATCAGCACCACGACCATATGAGCTCCGCATTTCTTGTTTTTTTTTTTTGGCTGAAGTGCCAGATGTGTACACTTGGAAAGCGAAAAAAAAAAACAAAATAAAACATGCTCTAGGGTTGTTGCTTGTTTTTTCTTCTCGTTTTTTCATTTTTTGCTGTTTAAGTAGTAATGCCATGTAATATTCATTAGAAGTCGAGGAGGATAGCAGGAGGGTAGTTTTTTAGAGTTAGGATTAGGATTAAATTAAATGGAATTTAAGTTAGGGAGATGGATTTTTAGGTTGTAGTTTTTAGAACAAAAAAAAAAAAAAAACTAAAGGAAAAGGATAATTAAGTAATTGTTGGATTTTCGAAATTAAGGGCAATTTTTAATAAAAGCAAGATAAGGGTATCGGAATAATTGTAGGATTTGAGGATTTACAAATAGGTATTTTTGAGGCAATATATGTTAGGAGTTTGATATCGAAACCTTTCTAATTATCTTGTATAGAGTCAAGATAAGGAATGTCTAGATATTTCAGCTATTTTTCAAATAGGCCCAATTTTTCAAATAGGCCCAATTTTTCAAAAGAGGATATCCGGGGTATTCCTATGAGTTCATAAACGTTAAAAGACAGACAATTTCTATAAGAAGGTCTTGTAGTGATCCCAGGGTTTTCTTGAGGTAATCATTTAAGCTTGTATAGGGACATTTCTCAACTTCTTCGTCGGAAAATTCTAGGAGTATTTAATATGATCTTCATGGTTTTTATGGGGACATTTACCATCACATTTACATTTACTAGTCCTCCTTTTCCCTAAGGAGTCCCACCAGATATTCTATTAAAATATTTCTCCTGGCTTCAATAGGAAGACTTCCACGTCCGTCTATGACGAGAGAACGAGTCGTCTAACACTCCAAGAATTCAAATATTGCCCGACTTCTTAAACAATTTTCAGAAGATTTTTTTAATTTTGTTCCCAAAATAACTTTTAGGTCTTTAACAAGAAGCTCTTTCTTTATAGCTTCAATAGAAAGGCCTATCGGAACTTCTATAAGATTTCCTTCATGGATTCTTGAAGAAATTATTCCTGATCTTTAAATTTATATTTCTGCTGGTATTTTATTAGAATCCCTTTTTGGCCATTTATAATAAGGGTGCTATTTTTAAAATTTCATGTCTTCAAATATTGTCCGAAATCTTACCTTCTTGGTCTTCTAAAATTGGTCCAAAGTAGGACATATAATAGGACTTTCCAAGACTTTCATAACTTGAACTTCATAGGCGTTCTTTTTCTGGATTTTCAAAAAACCTTTCGGTTCTTCCCATAACAATACCTACCTGATTCTCTATAAATTCCTTCCTAATCTTTTATAAGATGACCTTCGCAGATTAGGAGATCTCTTCGAATAGTGTGTAAGATAATTCTTTCATGAGCCTCCACTTGACATTTTTTTTAACCGGTATCCTTGGGTCTTCTCTAAGAAATTCTCAAGAAACCTTCTTAGGTTCTCTCTAGGGAAAGATCTCTTCTCTATGATTACTCTTCCTGAATAACTTTTCAAAAAGAATCATGGGACCTTTTCTAAAAAATCTCAAAGAGTCCTTCTAGGGTTCTTTCACTAAGATTAGGTTTGTTTATTCTCTTGAAAAGACATATGTAAGATTTTTTATAAAATGATGCCTTCATGAGTTTCTGCCTGAATAATTTTTCTTGTTTTTTTTTTAAATCATCGTAAAATACCACTCTAACTTTTTGTAAAATATCTTTAAAAATCTCGCTTATTTACTACTTCTATAGGAAGAGCTTCTAGAGTCTTTTATGAACATAGATATTCTATAAAAAAAATCCTGCAAATGTTTTATTAAAAAAAAAACATTTATCTTTAAAAACCATTTTTACCTTCTTCCTTCCATTTTATTACCTATGATCTTCATTAAAATTGATATTTTATCTCTAGTAAA